TGACTTTTGAGTATTTTTTTAATTTTTTTTTAATTTTTAAGTTTTTAATGTTATGAATTGAATTATAAGTTTAAATTATTGCACTAAAAATTTTGATTGGATTTAATTTTTTGAAATTTTTTTGTAGGGCTTAAAATTGAATGGATTTAATTTTTTTTGTGAGCTAGTGATGTAACTAAAATTTTGAGATCTTTTAAAAATTTGAGACTTAAAACCCACACTTCTTTTTCCATACTGTTGGGCCGGCCTCGGTACTCAAACAATTCGTTTTTTAGTAAATCACTCTAAAAGAAGTTGATTATAACAATCATTATAATTACTTTATTTTCTTCTTCTATTTTAAAGAATTCACGAATACATATATATAATTATAGCGAGGGGATGTGTGTGCGGTGGTTGTGATTCAACCGTGAGATGTGTATTTCTTGATTCTGAGTTTAGCTTCAAATTCAACTTCCATATAGAACTTGACTATTTATATTTTAAGCTTCATAAGAGTAAAGTGAGAAAACTTATGGCCGTGGCAACGTACTCAGCTGGTGTCCTTCGCCACTAATTAACAAAAGGGTTAACGTGTAAGTACAATCTCAAATAACCAGAAACACAATACAATTTCAAAAATTATGAAAACAACCGCTTCATGATTGAGTGATTAATTATGATGGACTCGATTTGGACAAGGTCCAGATTACAGACTAATAAAGATTCACTCATAATTTTAGTTGGGTCAAATTCACACCTTTTTGAAAAATCATCAAGAGAATCTTCATTCAAGGAATGAAAATCCGTGAGGATACAGTCATTAGAGATATATCGCCAGTCTCGCAAAATTGGAGGCACATTGTTTATTACGAAGATAAAACGAACTTCACAGAATTAGTTATGAGAATGACACCTCAATTAAAACATCTGAGAACCAACTTCACTTACCTATAACTTGTAAGTCTTGCTTACACATAGGAGGCATCGAACACATCTCAACACACTACACCTCTAGAATAATAAAATTCTCTGGTCATCGTCATCATTCTTAGTGGAATAGGTCACTCAGATTGAACACACCAAATATTTATGTTTACTTGTGTTAAATCTCCTTCTTAATTACTATATTATATACTTGACAGGTGATACATAAACACATTTTGTACATTATCAAATTCTTTTATCAATGTCTACTATTTATGACGCAAGTCAGTCTCTTCAAGTGGAAGGAATTAAACGGACTTCAGGTCTCAGATAAGCCTTTGTATCAATTAATTAAGAAAAGTCAATGACAAGAAGAGGAAGAAGGCCAGGAGAGAGAACTTTATTACTGTTAGTCTTGCAGGGTATTCGACCATCAAGACCGCCGTCAATGCAAACTTAGGGAATAGTCTAAGAAGAGAATTGATTTAGATTACTTTTGTGACCAGCAGATAAAGAAAAGTATTATTAAAATACAAAGGGTCCATACATAAAGATGTTAGTGTTCTCCTTCAACTTGCTAGGAAGATCTCTTATACCCTAATATGAATTTTCAGCAGCACCATATCTAAAACTTCTCCATTGTCACTCATCATTTAGTTAGAGTTCTTTCCTACTCCACTGGTGGCAAGAGAATATACAAACAAAACAAAACACAAAAGGATCAAATATAAATTTCTTTTGATTAGTTTCATCAAAAAACGAAACGAACTACGCTAATATGCCTCAAAGTATGGGCTACATCTATTCCTCCAGGATGCTCCACAAATTTGGTTCGTGATAACGAACTTTCATGGCACGCACAGACAATGTTGACTTCTGTTTTTATGTACTTATATAAGAAATTTATAATCATTTTCTCATTTGGCCTGTTTCTGTTTTCGTGTATCTATATAAGAAATTCATAATTATTTTCTCATTTGGCCTGTTTCATGTTGTTGAAACCCAAGTCATCTGCATAAGAGAACTAGAGAAAGCATGTCCTGATTCTTAACCTAAGGCTTACCAAAAGCCACCTTGATTTTTATTTAAAGTAATTCGGACATAAAAATTTGATTTAATTTGTGAATTTCAATAAATTAGATTAATAAATTATGTTAATAAATTAAGTATTAATAAGATTGCTCTTCTGTCAATGGAGCAGTTGGAATGGACTTGTTCAGTTGTGTGTTTGATTTGGGTTGTTCATCGGGTTCTGCTGGCCTGGATTGGGGGTTACTTGATGAAACCGCTCTCCCTGTAGATTTTGCAGCCTTTGCTGCTTTGTAAATGAGTTGATTTGATTCCATTAGGTTGCAAGAACCACTTCGTTCAAATTGTCCTTGCGGATCACGTGGGTTGAGATCTTGGTTGTCCCCTTCGAATCTCGGCCGTCGCTTTCAATTCTTTAGGTAATCAACACGCGACGAGACTTCATTGAAGAACGTGCTGGTTGGACTCCGGATATCCATACGATTGTATACGGAGAGGATGAAAATGAAAAGGGCAGGACCTTTTTTTTTTTTTTTTTCTAATTTCATGAATTAATAGTTTATAGCAACTCCAACTCCATCTCTTGCTTAAAATATATTTAAAAATTATATTATTTATTTTTAGAGAATTATTTTTACAAATTCACTTCAACTACGTTCTATTCTAACTAAGTATTTCAGTATTTCACCCAATTTCTGATAATTTGAAAGAAATTGCAATATATAGATAGAGAGAAAATATGGAGAGGGTGAATGACTCTCCATATTTGGAGAGTTGTGTTGGGTGAAATGAGAATAGAGAGTGAGACAGAGAGTGGGTTAGAAAAAATTTTTAGTATTTGATTAGATAAAATAGCTAACAAAAAGGGAAATAGAGAATAGGTTAGAGTTGTTCTTAACTAATGATAGCGAAATATTATAATCATCTTTAAAATGACAGACATAAAGTTAATGGAGTCATGAATTTAAACTTTATAATTGCTTATAAATTGAATGATAAGGGATGAAACAATGTTTTGGACTTGCACTGATAAATTGTTTCCAGGTCAAAAAAGAAAAAGAAGACAATAGATAATACTGTTACAAAATTTAAAATTTAAAATTTAAACCAACTAATTTATCTTCAAAATAATGAAAAAATCAAGTCCTCTATTAAATTAGGAGATTTTTAATACATAAATATAATTTGAAAAAAAAAACAGTTTCAAAAAATAATCGCATTATTTAAGGGAGGACACAAATGTCAAAGAAAAATTCGAAAATTTCAAATTATATACTTGTACAAAATTAAGATCTAAAATTAAGAATTTCCTTATCTTACATTTTTTTTGTGTATTTTTTTACAATTAAATCCAATTGTATACCCCCCCCTTCTAATTTACTAAACAAAAAATATTTGAAGATATAAGAATATAATTGATTTCATAAAAATTAGTCTAGTAAGACACGACGAACATATCTATATAATATTTTTTTGTTAAATTTATAAAAAATATAGATTATATGTGTGATTGAATTGAATAAATAAATTATGTGTCTAGGAATTAATTTTAATTTTAATTTACTAAACCTAATTACTAACATATACATGTATTATAGAGTAATTTGAGTTATTAGAGTTATTGTAATTAAAGATCTAAAGCTATAAGAATAAAAATAAGTGAACGACTAAAAATTAATGTTATATGATAAGAAGAATTTTGATAGAACATAGAAAAAAATGATGACATTAATAAGAATATGTGGGTATAATTGACTTAATATTATTAAATAAAAATAAAATAACAAAATCAAATTTTTTTTACACGTACTAAGTTACTAACATTCATAAATAATATAAATATAAATATAGATATAGAGATGCTATAAACGCCAAACGGGACAAGTTTGGGGGTGGTCGGGAATGACCGACACGTAGAGATCTCCGTATAAAGGTTCTTGCAGCGAAAAGTTTGCTGAGGTGGGGCCTTTGTGGTAGGTGGGGTCAGGTTTTTTGAGAGGGATTGTCATATGATTATGCAGGTTGGTCAGGTGTCAAGTGAAGCAAAAGTCCGGTGTGTAGTCAAAGGCTGGTAGGTCTGGAGTTGAAGCAAGTATGACTTTTTACACTTTGGTTTGGGAGTAGTAAAATAGGTTTACTACTGTATTTTTTTAGTAAATCGAAATATAATATTTTATTTCTTTGATTATTTTATTTTGTTGTTATTTTTTTAATAACTGATCATAAATAATTCTCGGTATATTATTATTTTCATATCCCCAATTTAGACTATTTTAAATCTTTTTAGTAGTAATTTATAAATTTTCTCTCCTTCCATGGGAAAAATATTCAGATAGTGTGATGAGTTAGATTCTCAAGATGGGTCTTATTCTTAAGAAACAATCGTAAACCATGGCTTCACACGAGCATATACAAAGAAAGTATCACAAGTTCAAACAATAATTTTTAAGAAAATTTGTAGTCAGACTCTTCCTAATTTATTATATTTTCAAATATATTTTTTTATTATAAAAAATATCACTGACACCCTTTCTAATTTATATTTAAACATTTATGACACCCCTTAACATTAAACCACCATTTATAAACAAAAATAAATTATCTAAAATATTAAAATTATCTCTACATAAATCTCAAATAATCTTTCTATATAAAATTCAATTAAAATTTGAGCTAATTAAAATTTATTTTTTTACATATTAAAATTTAAGCTAATTATTTAATTTGTTTTACATTTTTCTGAATATTTACTAGGATTATTTCATGTATTAGCATTCAGTCAACGACAGGCACAACAAAAGGTTATAATTATTACACGTTGATTAATTTAGGACATGACAAAGCAGGTTATGTCTGAGCAGATCATATTGAAGAAACAACAGTCTAATTATGTGGACAGGTGTTGATCGAACTGAAGAATCCGGGTTTGTCGAACTTGTTTTTATTAACAAGTCTAAAAAATTATCTAAATTCGACTTGTTTAAAAAATAAGTAAAATCCAATAAACTCGACTATTTTACATTTAAATAAATCAAAATTTTTTAAACTTATTTTTTTAAACGAGCCTAAAAAATAATTCAAATTCAGCTACTTTAAAATACAAGTCGAGCATGAGCTTGAGCTTGAGCCCGAGCCCAATACCTCGTCTCGATTAACTCTCCTGCCGATGTAATTCCTGCAAGTCAATGGGTTCAATAGCATTGGCAGGGCAAAATTTGAAAAAAAATACCTGTCAGTTGGACACCAGAAAGGAAAACAAGTACCACAAGTTTGATGCTACCAAATGTATAGATTCAGGTAAATATCTGTAGATATAATGTACATCATTACACCCTCCAAAGTTCATAACCTGAATTTTTAGACAGGCAAAGGCAGGCTTACAAGAAGTTGGCCACTCATCGCACTGCAAATCAGAATGCACAGGCAGTGAGAAACGTCCTAACCGATTACATTTCCACCAGATGATGGACATGAAAACAACAGATAGAATTAGAAACCAAAATGTGAAGGGTGAAGGGCTAACCTCTTGATGTAATAGTAACAAAAGTCAGCCAAGATGAAAGTCTGAACTATTTCAGAGATAAGAACCATCGGTAGCCAAAGGTACCCGCTTCCAACCAAGAACAGGTACGTTCCAGCAGTATCGTAAACCTGCATATGGATGGGAATAAATCAAAAGGACTATATAAGTTGTAGGGTTGGGATTAATTTGGATGTCTTCAAACATGGAGTTTATTGATTTTGTATTCTTGGAATAAGCATAAAAAATTCCCCATAGGAACTTTTACATAGTTTTTAATATGCCTGCTGACCTAATTTTTCCTCAATTTCACCCTTGAACTCTTTAAAACCATAGCAATCCGCCCCTTCCATCAAATTCTTGTGTTTTGTTTTAACGGGAAATCTAGAAAAATAGAAATTTGGATGTTTTTAATTGCTACGATTTTAAGACTTCAAAGTAACATTTAGAAAAAATGAAGTTTGAGGGACAAATTGAGTCTAATGTCAAAGTCCGGGGAACAATTATGATATTTACCCTATTTCTAATTACTTGAAGGCAGACATCCTTGCCAGTAGACTAAATTCAGCATGATAATGAGGAAAAAAAGATGGTGACAGAAAACCATGGAGTTATCATTTATTGCCACATATGATGAGGAAAAGTTAGCCACCAAGTATTTGCTGCAATCACTGTGCTTTGACCTCTTTGTACATAACTATATTTGCTATGCAATATTAGGTATGAATTCAATTTGTGAAGCAACATTTCTGGAAAGAAATGTCAACCATCTTCTTCTTTTTGTCTTCCCTGGTGACATAATAAAAAAAAACCAAAAAGAGCTAAATGGGTGCCAAGCAAGTCAGAAATTCCAGTATCCTGGTCCTGATGATAATTCTGCCAAACAAGCTCACTTCGTTCTGAAAGATGCATCATGCCCTTTATTGTTATGTGGTAGGAGGAGACACTTCAGGCAAACACATTTCAGAATGTTTCTGCTAATCATAGAGAATGCCAGGGAGTATCAAACTAATCTCATTACCATATCCCCCCCCCCCCCCCCTTCTCTTCTCTCTGTGGAATCTGCCCTACTAAATCGATAACTGCAATAAAACCATGACTAGCATTGAATTGATGCAGCCCAGCTCCTATTGCTGAGTTTACGTTGTGTATATTAATGTAAAGTCAATATATGCAATTTACATAAACCAACCTGAATGATCCAGTGAGCACATCCCAAAAATCTTGCAACACCCAGTGCAAACACATAATGGCCTGTAAATGGTTCGACCATCTGCAATACATTTGAGCAGAATGGATAAGTTCTACCTCTCACGTACTGATAAAACATAGATTTAAAACAAGATACAGCCAAGTCAAGTATCAACCTTTGCATTCTGCATCATACGAAGCTGAGGCAGCACTGAAACAGATTCCAAGTACACACAAAATGCCCAAAGGATTCTGCTGATACGAGAATGCTGTGTATATGGGTGGACAAGTAGAGCTAGAACAGCAGCAGGGACAACCTGTTACATATATAGAGGAAATATGAGTGCAGTGATTAAACCATTTAATAGTCACTAGCAGCTCCCATAACTTTTCGAGGAGAGAGAAGAAATTAAATAACAGCAACTATGCCAGTGGCAAAGCCACATTCAAGGCAAACCATGGTTTCTCCAAAACTTAGGTTGGGGGTCATTATATTCGAAGGGAAATTCCTGAAACTATGTATAATGCCTACATACGGCACTTACATCAAAAATCACACGAGACAATCTAAGAAATCTAAGTCAAAACAAGCCATATTGAGCCTCAACCTATTGATGCTTAAATGTAGAAAAGAAAAAGAACTACGTTTCAAGTCTTTGGTGTGTTTGGAATAAAATAGAAAGGGGTGAAATAAAAAAAGATTAAATACAATTAGAGATGATGTTTGGGGAGTGGTGTTAGGGTTTAGGTCTTAGAGATAAAAGGGCAAAATAGACGAGAAGAATTGAGAGAGAACCCAAAGCCCATGGATGGGCTGTCTAAGGGTGAGCCATAAAAGGCACAAATTACACCAACACAACAGCCCCACTCTTTTAACTCAACAAGTATCACATTGGAATCTCAGACAGTCTTAGAAAACATCTCTTCATATCAAGAGAAAATTTGTGAATCTTCTTGCAATTTGTGGCTGCAACAACTAAAACGTCTAATGAGTCAACCAAATACTGCCAATCACTTATCATACATTGTCTTGCAGCTTGTGTGACATAAAGGACTATGCCAAGCTTTGAACTCTAAATTACACTACAACCAAAACATGTTTTGTACAAGCTGTCATTGAAGAAGGCTTTTAAGAATGCTTGGTGACATGATGTTCTTTGATCTCATGACTTCTCCTTGAATGCAATGAATAAACTTCACAAGATATGTGGACATAGACAGTTGCAGATTCTATAGAATAATCCCCCCTTATTAAATCTCACAGTAGGTCAAGACTAGATAAACAAACACTCTTCAAAGTGGTTGTTATGAATGTAAATTAGTGGAATTTACACAGCCATGATATTGATAGTTGGCCTATGGAAGGAAAATAGGAATGACATCCTCCCCTTTCTATAGATGCAACTCATAGTGTATAACATTCCAAAGAAAAAGGCATTTATACCAGAAGGTTCAGATGCATAGCAAGGGAAACAAATGGATATTGAATATGCACAAGAATCACATCAAGCTGGGTAATAGGACAAGGGGAGGGGGGGCTCATCAAGATTGAGGGACTGCATATATAGAATATTGGAAAAATGAACAGGTGAAAAATGTGTTTACCAAATAATATATGGCCATGTTGTCAAGCTCTGAAATGTAGGTTGACTTCAACTTGAATCTTATCATGTATATAACCCATAGTGTTGACAAAAGTGTGGCGAAATCAAGCACGGTGTGAATGTCACCTTCCATAACGAAACTACAGCACAATCTAGCAGCTAGGAATATTGCTGTAAGCTCTTGAGTCTTCAGTGAAAGGCCTAAACAAAACAAGAGAATGAAGATTTGTATATATCCGGTGAAATATTCTCAAGACTCCAATGAATTAAATAATTTGAGGCATGAAACATTTAATAGCAAGAACCCAAAGAAATTAAAGTGGCCCTCAAGGGCAAAGTTGGAAACCAATGCCTTTGGTCCTGTAGGTAAGATATAGTTGCATATATGTTTATGAACTTCACTGAGATCTATCAACAGGATCATCTCACAACTAGTAATCAGCTTGAGACCAACCTCCGTAAATTGAAGCTGAAGTTCTGGGAGACCATTTATTGGGAGGAGAGGCATACAATCAGCCTTGGCCAATTGTAACTTTGGCAGATAGAGAGGGAGACCTGCCCCTCCTAATTATGCAGTTTAAACTACTCCTACTTCTCTTTCTTGTATTTTTGGTAGGCAAGCTGGTGTTAATTGACAAAGAGTAAACTGCTGATAGCCGTTTATTATATTAGAACAGAGGTTTGTGGGTTTACCTCTGACAGACCACAACAATGAAGTAGCTAGCATCTTCTAGCTCTCTGTACCGTAAATGTAGAGTGGTTTGATGGCATTGCTATGAGAAGCTGCCCTTCATTGGACTACCATGGAACTAATGAGGGAATAGTTGTTTGCTTCAAAAGTTGTTATCATTCTAATCTTCTTATTAACTAGAGTAACACAATATTATGTCTCAATAAACTAATGTTGAAAAAGGAAGAAAAGCCCACGTTTTAGTGTCTCCAACTAAGTCATCAATTCAAAAGTTTGCATAGATTCTTTGAAGAAGGGGAGGCAGGAAATCTTAATGGAAATTGAGGCAATCCACAGGGATATAATGACGTACAAAGATCAGATCGCAAATCTCATGTTGCAGTAAGTTAGTAGGAGCTCTAATTAAGCTGCACATTGGGTAGCTACCCAAGAACTGAGATGGAAATATATGATGTTTGACACACAAAAAAGAAAGAAAGAAAAAAAGTCATCAAGTCAAAAATAAGTGTGTCAAATTGAGGTTCGTAACGTCTCTCTCTCTCTCACACACACACAATTAACGTGTTTGTAACCAAAAGTGCAATTAATAGTGTCAACGAGGTAAATATAATTTCGACCTTAGAAGATGCTCCGGTACTTCTGAAATTGTTAAACTCTCAGATGAGGCATGTGTAATTTACCCACAGACAAAAGATTCACCCAATCAAAGCAATACGTCTTGAACAAATAATAAAGATGAATCAAAATAGATTTCTCCAAATCGTCAAACCCCCTGAACCTTTACTCTACACAAGGACTAAAAAACTCTAGGTAAAGACAAAAAACAAAAATAATCCGAATTAATCTACCAAAAACAACGAATAGATAGAAATCAACACCCAATATTTAAAATATAACAATCAAAGACTGATCAGATAGCTGACAAAATCATAAAAAAATATACCCAGAGTATTGACAGAGAAGGAAATACCAGAGCAAGTCTTTTGGGTGGTGAGCTTGTAAATCAAGACGACGATCCCGGCGACATGAATAGCTTCAGAGGCAACGAAGAAATGGGTGTAATCTTCGACCAGAAGTCTGAGGGCCACCAGTGCACAGAGCACAGAAGTAACGGCTAAGAAGGTCTTCACCTTCATCGATTGCCTTCGCACCCATGCAAACAACTTGTTCACCGGCGAACCCCTCTTCCTTCCCATCAGTACTGGCCCTTGTTTCTCCCTCTTCTCCTCTGATAGATTGATTTGGAGAGAGAAAGTTAGAGAGCGTGATTGATTTGGAGAGAGAACGTTAGAAGGCGTTATAGGACTAGAGAGACAGAGATAGAGATAAAGAGAGACAAGGTTGGTTACGTAGGTGGGTTTTTGGTGTATTTGGCGCAAAGTGGATAGAGGAAGAGAGAGAGAGACGTTTGGAATGACACGAAGAAGGGCATGCAGTTGGCATTTATTTTGGTGTGGATTAATGACCCAATCGAATGAGTAGTTGCCACGTGGATTTATTTCTATTTTATGAGGTAACATACAGTATACGGAAATTAATACTGGGTTTGCCCGCTGATTTAGACATTTACTTTGATGCGATTTAGGAAGGATCAATTAATAATAAGGGTTAATAGCATTGAATGTTTTTAAAGTATTAATTTATTTTATTTTAGTCTATAATATTTTAATTATATTATTTTATTTTTTAAAATATTAAATAAATTTTTATGTGATCTCTTATACAGATAATATCCAGATTGTTAATAATTTTTTATTATAAATTTGTCATGTAATATTTAAATATAAATAAAAAATAATTTTGATAACTTTTAATTAAATTTTGGTCAAAAAATTATACAAATTACACAATTTTAATCATTAACTATCCAAATTTTGTTCAAAAGTTATTTATATTACATATTTTTTGTCAAGAGCTACCCAAATTATTTTTACTTATATTTATGTATCACATGATTAGGAATAACAGTGAATTGGGGAAAAACATGTAGTCGTCCAAAATCGTTCTGTTTATAGACTATACGTATTAGATGATGGATATATACGAGAATACATATATAAACTCGTGTTAGAATAGAGACAAGAATGGACAAAAACGCATCCTCGCCCTGTTAAACCCGTAATATNGGGATGGTGATAGAGATTAAATTTTTTTCTGCTAACGGAAGTAGATAAATAATTTTGAAGTGGGTATAAGTGTGGAGACTACTCCCCTCCCCTTACACCCCGGCCTTGGTCTAATGCCACCATTATACATGACAAGTGTATGTTCAAAAATTATTAGTAATTTGAATATTGTTTATTTGAGGAACCACATAGAATGTGACCATTGGGGATCTTTAGTACAATTAAAATGATGTAATAAAAATATTTGAGACAAAAATAAGACAAATTTTATACTTTGTGGACCTTTAGTACCACTAAACCTAACAATAAAAAGATTTTTATGCACTTTGCACCTCAAAAGATTTTTTGTACTTTGCACTTCAAAAGATTTTATTTTTTTTATTTTGCACTGTTAAAGATTAAATTTTCTATATTATATGCTTAATATATCAAAAGTGTTACAATGTAACCATTCTTTTAATTTTTTATTAGTTTTTCCGTTAATTTCAATGAGAAGTTAATAGAAATGTCACATTGCAATTTTTTTAATACATTAATGATGTAATGTGAAAAATTTAATTTTTGAGAGTAAAAATTGATAATGCACAAAAATAGTTTTGCACATCACTTGTCAAGTGTAGGTAATAAATGCAGTGAAATCAATGAAAAAATTAAAGAAGACACGATTTATAGTGGTTCGGTCAATTCGACCTACGTCCATTCTTCAATGGCTTCAGTTGCCGGGTATTTTATTAATTCAGAGGTATGGAGAATAGAGATACAAGCTTTGAGAGAATGGAGAATCAAAGAAAATGGTCTCCGGTCGTCGGTCTATCCTCTGTAAGTGTTGGTGGGGCGTGACCTTCATCTCTTTCATGGCTTCTCACAGATTGGGGTTACTTTATAGCAGCTAAGAGATCATTCTTGTGGAGATCATGACTTATCCTCAAGGCTACTTTATCGCAGCTAAGAGATCATTCTGGTGGAGATCACGACTTATCCTCAACGGAAGGAGGAGGTTGGGGAGCTCTTCATGAAACGCGGTCAAAGATTGGACCGTTTCCTTCGGTGGTGCAGATAAGCTTCCCATGCTCTCCTCTTGATGACGTGCTAAGCAAAAAGTCTAACCGGTCTTGGACTGTCTTGGGCTTGGTGGATTCAAAATGAGGTTGGGCTCCTCAACTGGGGTTGGACTTTAACACATAAATTGGACTATTTGGGCTTAACCCATCATTTGCCCCCCAATGCCCCATGTCCAATGAGACTTGGAGAAGGAGGCATTGACTATATTATTTTTATTATTATTATTATTATTTTCTTAACTTCAAGTCTTTCCCACTTTATTTTGAAGAGGGCCCATAATATTCTATTTGATCTTTTTATTTTGAAAATGACTTATAACTTTCTATTTGACCACTTTATTTTGAAGAGGGCCCATAATTTTCTATTTGGGTTTTGTCCCTCTTTTTGAAAAACCCTAGACTATAAATATAATCTTCTTCTTCATGTTACCCATTTCACTCATTTTTAAGGTTGAGCACCCACCTCTTGAAAACCTTGAAAACTCAAGTCCTACCCATTTTGTTGAAGCCAAAGTGTGTTCTCCTTGAATCCTTTCAAGAGTGTGATTTCTTCCTTGCTAGTTGAGCTTCTCAAGTGAACAATGTCGATTGAAGAGGGAGTGGTGGAGGTTGAAGAAAGGGAGGAAGGAGGCACCATTTTGGAGAACTTGGAGGCTGGTTTTGAGCATTTGAATGCTGTTTTGGACAGCTTTGAGGTTGTAAATGAAGGGCTGGACAGCGAAGGGGAGATGGGCAGTGAAGGAAAAAGGCTGGGCGTGCGACTGGACAGCCCAGGCGCGCTGGGTGCGCGGCTGGCCAGCGCAGGCGCGCAGTTGGGCAGCTCGCGCGAGCGCGGTGGGGGGCTAGGCGGCTGCCTGGGCTCTGCTCCTCCTGTCCTAGACAGCCCAGGTGCGCTGGGCAGCAGCCTGGCTGCTGCTTCTGCTGTCCCGGACAGCTCAGCTGTGCTGGGCAGCTTCAGTTTTGCTACGCTGGGCGGCTTTGGAACGCTGGGCAGCAGTATTTTTCCATCAAGGGGCGCTGAAAATCAGTCCAAAGTTCATCAAGGAGAGCTAGGCAGTGGCCTGGGAGCACGGGCTGATCCGATTCTCACTCGAGGCGCTGATTTGGGCCCCTTAGGTGCTGATTTTTGCGCCGAAAATTCTGTTTTGCGCAATTTTGAAGGGCCAGACACCCTTCAAGCTACTGGGCATCCTTGTTTTGACGAGCAACAGCAGTCAGGCACGCTTCCAGGTGTTGGGCTAGACATTGCAAATAGTAAGGAAGCTTTGGGTGCTACTCTTGGTGATCAAGCCCCTATTGTAGCTCCCCCGATTCAAGTTCCTCAAGACTCTCCCAATGGTGATTTGGACTACTCCTTAAGGCCCCGGA